AATATGTTTTTTCGCAGACCGTTCATGGTCCGATTTCAAGACTCTAACACTCAAAAAATAGTCATTCCCATTATAAACAAATGCATAGCACATTTTGTATCTATTTCCTGGTTCACCAAGCATTCTCAGAGTTCATTTTAAAGGTTTCCCGAATGGAAAACAAAATTTTATCGGTACTCGCTGCTCCGTGACGTCCTTCGACGTCATCGTTTTTTTGCTTTTTTTTATGAAGTCTTTCTGCCTTTAAAGATTGAAATCTTTTAAACGAAGCGATGAATTACATTAAATTTTAACATCTAAAGTAATTGAACACTTCTAAATTTAAACATTTCAAATTTATTTCATTTAAGAGCCATTTATTAGAGGTATGACTCCCAACATTATCAAGTGTATAATTAGACAAGAGGCCCACGGGCCTTATAGGTCACCTGAGTACCATGTAACAACTTTCCAGTGATTGTATTTGGTTCGTGTTTTAATCCAAAAGCCATGAAATTCACAAATTTTGAAAGAGGCACCATTGCTTATCAAAGGGCAGATTTCAACGCATTAATTTATTTTAGTCAAAGTACCCCCCCTGGTACCTCTGACCCAGCGGCCCTGAAATTATCTATTTTGAAAGAGGCCCCTTTCTTCATTATAAGGCCAGCATTTTTTTTTTTATGTTTAGGTTTAGTTATGAACATGAGAATAAAAAAGTCCCGAAGGAGAAGGAAATAAAAATTTTTTTGATAAATCAATTATTAACATTTACAAGTACATTCTTTTTCTATGCTATTCTAATAGGCTCCTTACCACTGAACACATAATGCTTACAAATAGGAAAGTAGAACATTTAATTGCTTATTTCATCATCTGCCAGTTTGGGTCAGTTATATAAATTTTGTGATATTGGTCAAAATATATTTTAAAAAATCAATTCTTTAAAAGTCTTTCAATATACATATGTATCTTCATTTTTTTAATATATGTTAGGTGAATGTGCAGACATTGTTCTAAAATTTAATCCTATCATAAAACAGACAGGGGGTATTGCGGGTGTAGGGTGAACATTTTTTCAATCAAGTGTAAAATAATTTTTCTGGCTGATACAAATGATACTACATGCCTGTATATATTTGTATATTCTTGCCTTAACAATTTCTTCCTCAAATGGACTGAACTTTTCCCATACTTTATTCATTACATCTGATGCATAAGCAACCCTTTTCTGAAGAATGATATTGCTTAGACTGTAAGCTATAACAGAGACCTAAACAATGTCGCTGGCAATATGCAACAGCTACCACGGGCAGTTTAAAACCTGGGGGAGGAAAATAATTTACAGACAGATACTTTTGAAACGAATACATAATTATCTCAACAGCATGTCATTGTGCAACAAAGTCGTCAGCATTTTATTTGTCCTTTGAACAGGTGAAACTTTTTGAATGGCACTCTATCAATGAATTTTACACTAAACCAAGCTATCTTTTCAGATATCGCTTTATTTACCCGCCGTTTCATCTTAAAACCGGAAGTGCGAGTTCGTAAATTTGAAATCTCGATCCCGACTCAAATTTGACATGGGAAAGAAAAAAATTGTTTTATTTTTTTCTGAACATTCAAAACCTTGAGCGGAGGGTTTGTAAAACTGAAAATAAAATAAATCCTGGCCTTAAATATGTAATTAGATCATTAGCATATTAACCAGGATGTTCAAAGAATTCATGCATTTCACTATATAATCATTAGAGCCCCACCCTAAAACAAGAACCCCTGACCCTGGGGCCATTAAATTCACAATTTTGGTAGAGGCACTTTTGCTCATCATGCACTATGTACTTAATTAGTTTATTTAATACCCAGGAGCAGAGAAGAAGATTTTCAAAGAATTCATGTATTTTCACTATATAATCAATAGAGCCCCGCCCTAACACCAGAACCCCTGACCCTGGGGCCATAAAATTCACAATTTTGGTAGAGGCACTCTTGCTCATCATAACTATGTACTTAGTTGGTTTATTTAATACCCAGGAGCAGAGAAGAAGATTTTCAAAGAATTCATGTATTTTCACTATATAATCAATAGAGCCCCGCCCTAACACCAGAACCCCTGACCCTGGGGCCATAAAATTCACAATTTTGGTAGAGGCACTCTTGCTCATCATAACTATGTACTTAGTTGGTTTATTTAATACCCAGGAGCAGCGAAGAAGATTTTCAAAGAAATAATGCATTTTCACTACCTACTTATTTAGCCCCACCCTAGCACTAGAACCCCTGACCCCAGGGCCATGAATTTTACAATTTTGGTAGAGGACTTGTTGCTGATTACAATCATGCAAACAGTTTGACTGCTTGATGTCCAGGAGTAAAGAAGAAGATTTTTAAAGATTGCATTAATTTTAGTGGTTTTGGCCCCACCCCTCAGGCCCCAGGGGGGCAGGGATCATGAAATTCACAATTTTTGTTCCCCTTCACCCATAGATGCTTTGTGCCAAATTTGGTTGAAATTGGTTCAGTGGTTGCAGAGAAGAAGCTGAAAATGTTCAAATGTTAACGCACGACGACGGACAAAAACAGATAGCAATAGGTCACCTGAGTTTACTCAGGTGACCTAAAAATAGGTCAATTTAGACCCTGCTCCGTGACCCCATTTTTCTGTCTTAAATCTTTGATAATTTTGATAATTTTCAAGATATTTTTACAATTTTTTGTCTCAAATTATTTGGATTTATTGTTAAAATATGTGTACTAAATTTGATAATAATATGACGTTAAATAAAACTAGATATCATTGAGATGGTGCCATCTCAAAGGGCCCCGCTTTCAACAATGAACATGAAAGTGTAAGGTTGTTTAAAAGGGTTTATTTTGAAGAGGAACATTTGTGTAATACAGTTAGAGTAATTTAGTACGACTTCACGGATATTGCTAGGTACAGATATATATCGAAGTTATCTTGTATCCCCAGTTATATAAATTTACTGGAATTAAAGAGAAAAAATTATGCGCCAAACAAAGATTTTTAAACAGAGAGGCTAATTCTGACCATGCCCTTGAAACTTTGACCAATCTCACTGCACATCCATTGACCAGTGGAACTCTGTGAGTGAAGTAATATCGAAATTGGGCCAAGGAGAGAGAAGATATGCTCCTGACAAGGATAGTTCATAAAATTCTGCTATGACCTCGACCTTTGACCTAGAAACATGGTTCAAGGTCACTGCACACCAGCTACCCAAAGGCACTCTGTGAGTGAAGTATGAGACAGATGGGGCTAAGGAGAGAGAAAAAATGCTCAAGACAAAGATTTTTCAGAAAATTCTGCTATGGCCCTGACCTTTGACCTAGAAACATGGTTCAAGGTCACTGCACACCAGTTACAGTACCCGCATCGTTATTCTTTACAATTCTATCGTCTTCTATCGTGCGTGTATCCTATCGTATCCTGCGTGTATCCTATCGTATCCTATCGTATCGTGTTTTCCGTTTATCAGGTTTTGCGTTTTCTATCGTGTTTTCCGTTTATCGTGTTTTGCGTTTATCGTGTATATCGTTTATCAGGTTCTATCGTGTATCGTGTTTTGCGTTTATCGTGTATATTCGGAAACCCTCGCTTTTTATCTTTACTATGTAAAGAAACTACTGAGCTATTCCGAGTGTCTTTTTCGTTTTGTTAATAAAAATAAGATTAGTTCAACCGAAAAAGAGAAAATAAAGATTTATCCCTTTCTTTTTCATCAATAGAAGAAATATTAAAGCGTAGAAGGAAAAAATAATTAATCGCGTATTTCATGAATGAATAAATTGATTTATTAATAAATAATTAATTAAATAAATAAAATAATTTTATCATGGTAAAGCAGAGAGTAATTGTCAGAATGTAAACAGTAACTCTATTTTTCGGAAATGAAATTATAAGAAGATAGATCACCTGGTCTATTTCTTTAAAAAATAATTTATCGAATTGTATGATTTATTTTGTCAAAATTAAATACTATTAATATGATTTTCTCAAATGAATTGGAGTTACCGGAAAAAGATTTTTGATAAGCTACGATGTTCCCGTACACAAAAAGCAAATAAATAAAAAATAAGCAGGATATTGAAATGTATCTTTTTTTCATGCAATATTCTGTTTTTCCTTGTTTATCGTCTGATAACGTTAGGAAAATGTTATCGCGTCTGACCTGCATATATGCACAATTATTTAAAGTCTTGATGTTACAAATATAATATTACATAAGACAATGATCTAGATGATTTTAACAACGATTTTGGCCGTATACGTTCAAATTTTAAATTTATTTTTTAAAGCTAATCATAAATTCCTTGACATGTGTCTAAATTAATGAAAGAAATCAAAATTATAAAATATAATGCATGAAAATATTCTTCCCAATTTATCACACCATGGCTGTTACTATAAAATAGAAAATTTTCATTAATTTTATCTGGCATTAGATAACATTAAAATAATATATACATGTACAGGGGAAAACATGAAGTTTTTTAACAGCCTACCTTTTCGGCGTGGAAATAAACTCAAAATATAATCCATCGGGATGCCAAAAATCAAAATAAATCGAGGACCTTTCCTTACAAGAAAACTGACACGTATGTGTAGCTCTCTAATTAGCACACTGTCTTCCTGTGCGGTCAACCACCCCTGACCCCCTTCTCCCCTAACTGACACGTCGGCCCGTGTTTGTGATCACCGTCAACATACCTGTACTGATTTCTCACCTGGGGTCAATTAGTAACCTCGAATACTACCTGGTTCTAATGAAACGCGTCTACTTATTTTCGGGATTTTGTTCCTAACTTGTCTGAATAATTTTATCAAAGAATTAATTCAAAATATATTCAATAATTGTATAATTTATGGATTAAAAAATCATCTTGAATGTTAAATTAAAATTCAAATAAATCAATTTAATGAAATGAAATCCCTAAACTCACTCAGTTGATTTTTTTCATTTCGTACAATGTTTCCATTATGTTTATGTAAATTAAGGCTTATGAGAATAAGCTAGGTTTATGTTGAAAAGAATACCGTAACTTTAACATCTACCAGGTTAGGTTCTGATATTTACATTTAATTTGTTCAACGATTCTGATTGGCTGTTATTTATAAACTAGATTCAGTGGCAGAGTGGATTGTAAACAGAAGTCTAATATTTTATTGCCCGTTTTCCACGGTCTTAATTCTAATTGTGACTGCGCATTGCGTGTACAGAAATATGTGAGATGTGTGAACAATTTTTAATACAGATTTGTATGTTTTCGTGATTTATAAACTGTAATCGATTGGAATATCCAGAGGCAGTTATCTCACAATGGCGGATGGTAATTCGAGACCTCGCACTCGCCAACGTCCACTTCAAAATTTGTCAAGTCGATGGGACGCTACAAACATAAACAATTGGACAACAACACAGTTTCAAGAAGAACTTCTAAAATTAAGTATTCGCGTCCCAGCTAATATTGGAAAGGCGACGCTTAGGAAACTATATTTGGAAAACGTAAGCAGAAACCCCGTAGTGAGAGAACGGCGGGAAAATGACTCGTCCCAAAATAGTCACCATGATGAGCATCCTAATTCCTCGACAGAGGCACCAACTGTGTCACAGACAGAAGTAATTTCGAATATCGGAACATCTGCGCATACCGAGGTTTCTGACCAGACCGTACAACCTGCTCAAACGCATATAAATTCGGGCTCGGAATCCTTGCGTAACAATTCCAACATGGCCGCCAGTGTAAATAATCAAGTAATCAGCGGCATGCTGAATACAATGAACTCGATGCAGCAAACCGTCATGGGTCTTCAACAGACAGTGCTCAGACTGATGGCAGATAAGACGGGAAATACAGGGAATAACATCAATGACACGGGAAATTCACTGGACACGGCGTATGCGGCCATGAGGAGCCAGACTGTCCCAGCAACTCAGAATACAGGTGGGTATAGATTACCACAGACAGAGTTTGGTGTCCCCTCTGAAAACCTTACGCATTTAGATATTGTTGGGGATAAACTCAGAAAGAAGATATGGGAGGGGAAAGACTTGAATTTAGCAGAATTGCTAATACCCAAATATGAGACAGAGAAGACGAAGAATATCACAATAAACTTGTTGAAATATGAAGATCCTCGACTCCATAAACAATTGACTATAGCCGAATTTATTACTGCATTCGGAAGATACAAGAGAGTCATGTGTCAAAAGTACCCTGAGAGACAAGTTGAACTGGACAGGTACGAGGCAAACATAGTGGATATTCATAATGTTTATGGTCAAAAGTTCTATGATTACCATTGCCAGTTTTCTGCCAGAGCAGCCACAGCCCTAAGAGATCATAATGTTAAGGTGGATTGGTCAGTTAAAGACTTGAACCTTATGATGATGGTGATGGGAAATGCTCAAGCCAATACCTGTAATACATGTTCATCAACATTACACATGTCTGCTTTCTGTCCAAAAATATCTGAAAGTAGAATTCCAGTGATTACTTCATCTCCATCACAAAACTCAAAGTCATCATCAATGGACAGATATGGACGACCAAGGACCATAATAGATGGGAAGGAAGTGTGTAATAACTTTAATGAAAACAAATGCAAAAGACAAAATTGCCAGTTTGAACATATTTGCACAACATGTCATTCTAAGGACCATGGATCCTCATTATGTAAGAATGTCTCCAGAGTCCAAAATAAGGTTGGGAAAAAGTGACTAGACAACAGGACAATGATGACAGATAATCTCCTAACAACGCCTGTTAACATAAAAGTTTTAGCACATGAACTTTTCCATCATCCTGACAAAGACTTTGCGAAATATTTGTGTGATGGTTTTACTTATGGCTTCGATACTATGATTTCTAATGCAGATGCGGATTCAGAAACGTAGAAATCTTCTGTCAGCTAGAAATCAGCCAGAAATAGTAGATAAATTTAAGTGAAGATAGAAGTAGAAAAAGGTTTCGTGGTAGGTCCACTAGAGTCACTTCCATTCCCAAAATACAGAGTAAGCCCAATAGGCATGGCAATCGGGAAATATTCAGGGAAACCAAGGCTTATCATGGACTTATCATCCCCTCATGATAATGAGCATCATGCCAGTGTCAATTCGATGATAGATAAAGAAAACTGTTCTCTGTCTTATGTTAAAATAGATGACGCTTTACGAATTATCCAGACTCTAGGATGTGGGACCACTATGTGCAAAACAGACATTTCTGATGCCTTTAAACTTGTTCCGGTTCTACCCAAACAGTGGCATATGTTTTGTTTCAAATGGAGATCACAATATTATTACTATACAAAATTATCATTTGGTTGCAGATCAAGTCCAAAGATATTCGACAATCTTTCCCAAGCAGTGTGCTGGATAGCGCATAACAATTATGGAATCAAATATATTCTACATCTATTAGATGATTTCATCACTTTCGAACATCCTGAAAATGAAGGTGAAACTAACATGAATTTGTTGTATCATATCTTTCAAACTCTCAATATACCAATGGCACTGCATAAAACCGAAGGACCTACCACATGCTTAGAGTATTTAGGCATCATTTTAGACTCACAGTTAATGGAAGCCAGACTCCCAAACAAGAAACTCCAAAGAATAACAGAATTCCTTCACAAATTTCAGTCACGCAAATCTTGCACGAAGAGAGAACTTCTGCAGCTACTTGGCCATTTGAACTTCGCCAGCCGTGTCATCCTCCCAGGAAGATCGTTTGTTTCCCATCTTATCACCCTATCCACCACTGTTAAACAACTGCATCATTATGTGAAAATAAACGAACAATGTAGGGAAGACATGCAAATGTGGCTGAGTTTCTTAAGCAATTGGAATGGCATTAATCTATTTTATAGTATGTCTCAGATTACATCAGAGGAACTAAACCTTTATACAGATGCTTCTGCAACGGTAGGATATGGAGGGTTCTTTAAAGGAAACTGGTTCTCCGAGCCTTGGACAGATGAAGTTAAACAATTATGTGATAGTGATACAGAATTATCAATTGCTTTCTTTGAGTTATATCCCATTGTTGTAGCTTCCATTCTCTGGGGTCATATGTGGAAGAAACAAAGAATAGTATTTATGTGTGACAATTCGGCAACGGTAGCAATCTTAAATAAGGGAAGATCAAAATCTGTACATATTATGCCGTTAATGAGACGATTAACTCTTGTGTCTGCTCAACATAATTTTGTATTCTCTTCAATTCATGTTCCTGGTAAACAAAATACTATAGCAGATGCTTTATCACGTTTACAGATTTCGAAGTTTCGCAGTCTGGTACCCAGTGCCCAAGAGCATGCAACCAAAGTACCACCACCCAAAGATGTTTTGTGGAGCTCGAAGACGTAGTTCAACAATTATGGACAAATGCCGTAGCACCAAGCACAAGATCCACTTATAGGTCTGCGTTCCATATGTACGTTCAATTTTTATTGATGTCATGTGCCATTTCTAGTGCATATACATCGGACATCCCAGTGACTGAAGACTATTTGATATACTTTGTAGCTCACTGTGTTAGTAGGCTTAAGCTAAGCTTTTCAACCATTAAGCTGTATTTGTGTGGTATTAAATTTATATGTCTTGAAAGCAACATTGCTTACCCAGATGTTACCAATCTGTCTCGACTTAAAGCATTGTTAAATGGTGTCAAGCGAATGCAGTTACCATCTTGTAAACTAAGACATCCTATAACTTTTGACATACTGAAAAAAGTTTGTGTATATTTTCATAGAACAGAAAGTTTTAGAAATCTTATGTTAGAAACTGTTTGTACTGTAGCATTTTTTGGTTTTTTAAGGTGTGGGGAATTTACCATTAAGGATTCTTTTGACCCCACAACAAACTTATGTGTTAGTGACCTTAGTGTTTTAGAAAGTTGTGTCTTGTTAAATCTTAAGATCTCAAAAACTGATCCTTTTAGAAAAGGAATTACAATTAAACTGTTCCCCACGAGCAACATAATATGTCCATTTTCAATCTGTTGTAAATATTTGAAAGCACACTGTTCCTTGCCCTTTTCAGCCAAGCAACCATTATTTGTAAATAGCGATGGAAATGCTTTAACAAGAACTGAATTTATTTCTGAACTTAAGCATGCTCTCAAATGTATTGGATGTAATGCAGATGTTTATAATGGACACTCATTCAGGATAGGGGCAGCAACCACTGCAGCTGCTGTCCATATGGAAGACCATTTAATAAAGGTGTTAGGTAGATGGTCTTCTGATGCTTACTGTAGATACATTAGAACACCAGAAACTGTTTTAAGAGAGGCACAAAAGTCGATGACAACCATTTAATACCTTGTCACCTGACATTTATATTCAGTTTTAGGTTTAGTTGACCTTTGTCAGATAATTGCATACAATTTTCGTTTTTTTCACCATTAAGACCTTTATGTATTATAAGGATGAACATGTATATCATTTCTATTCTGTATTATTAATATTGCATTTTTGGGGGCACTCAGCTTCATTTTGATTGCAACACCATTCACCTGAGTTTGGCCATCATTTAATAATTTTTGATCATATATATAAATTATTAAATTTTAAACCCCCAAAAAATCAGGTAACTTGTTTTAAATAGCTTATATTCCGGCTCTTGTTACCTAACTATGAAGTGGCTTTCATTTCGGCATGCTGAGAGAATATCTCACTAAATTCATAGAGAGGCTACACCGAGTTTATAAGCATTGATGATAGATCATCTTCCAGACATTCTCTTCCGGCTCTTGTAGCCTGGAACCAGTCCATCTTTCAGTCTACCACACCGAGTTGAGTACTACGTGCTCTTCCGGATCTTGTCGGTCAACCATGACTGGTCTCCTATGCTGCTACACCGAGTTGAGTTTAGTCTTGGAAGTTGAACCTCAATCTCAAAGCACACCAGTTTCACCGAGTTGACTGGTACATATATCTGTACCTTTCTTCCGGCTCTTGGGACTGGTTCCGCTGTTTTGGGGATAGGGTTTTTTAACTGATTAAAACTATGAGAAGCTGAGTCTGCCCCTATTTATGCCAAAGTATATTTATGTATTTCAATGTTATTTGATGTGTTTGTATTGGAAGTTATTGTGGAATGTTTAAATGTTAGACTTAGAATAAATGTTTTTACCTACTATACTATTTTATCTTTTCAACATAAATAAGTCTTTTAATAAACTTAAAAAATTATACTGCACTTATGATACATGCACTTTCGAGTCATCGGATTTTCTACGTAATACGGACAAAATTAATTCTTGGAAACAATTTCATCGATCGTAGAAACGGATGAAATAGTTCTAACATCCTAAACTATGAAAATTAGCTAGCAATATTTTTTAACGGTATCCTACTATAGAAATAAAACAAAAGGAGTCATCTGATCCGCCGTGACCATGCAAGACTAATAAATACACCGAATCAATTTATAGCATTAATCGATATTATTCCATATGTATATAACTTTATTTAAGAATTCAATACTATATTTGGCTATTTGGTTAGATCTTGTTTATCTAATTATAAATTGGTTGCGGACTTTCAAAATACCGCCCTTCGAATATGCCTAATATGAGATTACCAGGTCAGTGTAAAATGATTTTTAAGGTTTAATTCGGCAAATGAATTATTAAACCTTAAAAATCATTTTACACTGATCTTTTGTTATAATTAGAAACAGTACAAACAGAGTTTAATAGCAATGATTTATAATTATTTAGTCGGAAAAGTCGCATTTCACTCTTTTTATATCTGTTAATTAATTTTTCTGTTTTGTATTGTAAGAAGAAAGTAATTAAACATTCAATGTTCGTTAATAAATACGAGGTTTTAAGTATCTGTAATGTTAAATGTTTACATGTACATAAGTCAGAGCTTAGCGTAAACGTACAGTGGCACAGTTTACATGTATTAATGCAGAGCGCCATTATTTTAATAATTATTTAGATTTCTATTCAGGAAATTTAATTTTCTTGAACTGTTTCGTTCTTGATAGATCCTTCATGTTAAATTTATCAATTTTGTTAAAGCCGTTTTCTTTAAACCTTTCTTTCGGCCGGTCTTCTACTTGTATTATTTTCTAAGATTATATTAATATTTAATTGCGATTTTTGGATACATCGCAGATTGTAAGCTTTAGACATTAAATACAAATATTTAATTTATTGCGTAAATGTCTTCCGTGAAATAACTTGGTACTTGTAGATAAATTTATTAGATAGAAAATTAAAATGTATATTTTTCATAAATAATAAATCTGTTGATAGAGTTTCAAAATTCACACCCTTGAGAAGAAATTAAAAAAAAATACAGTCTCCGTTTCATAAAAATCTAATTAATCACTGTCAATTTTTAATATATATAAATAAACAACTTTTGTAAAATTAATACAGAGATCTCGGGTTCTTTTTATTATAATTAAATGTACTTTATAATTTAGATTTGAAGCTCTGCAAGTATTTAAATTAAAATAAAATTTAATTTAAATAATCTTTAATCTTTAAATTTAATTCAAAATAATCTTTTCGTCTTGTCAGAAAACGTTCCGCATTTTGAAAAAATCCTATCAGGTTTTGCGTTTATCCTATCGTGAAGATCGTTTATCAGGTCTGTCGTGTTTTGCGTTTATCGTGTTTTGCGTGTATCGTTTTTTGCGTTTATCGTGCTTTGCGTTTATCCTATCGTGCGTGTATCCTGTCCTATCGTGCGTATATCCTATCGTATCGTGCGTGTATCCATCGTATCGTGTATCCTGTAAAGAATAACGATGCGGGTACTGTACCCAAAGGCACTCTGTGGGTGAAGTATGAGCAAGATTGGGCCAAGAAAAGAGAAGATATGCTCCGGACAAGGGTTTTTCATAAAATTCTGCTATGACCTTGACCTTTGACCTAGAAACCTGGTTCAAGGTCACTGCACACCGGTTACCCAAAGGCACTCTGTGGGTGAAGTATGAGCCAGATTGGACCAAGGAGAGAGAAGATATGCTCCGGACAAGAGATCTCGAACGACGGCCGGACGGCCGGACAGCCGGACAAACTGATCACTATAGGGCGCCTGCCAAGCGGGGCCCTAATAATACTCACAAGAGATGTTTGCAAAACACTTATGCCCCCCTCCCCCACAAATTGGAATTTTTCTACATCCAAAAGGGCATAACTCTGTCAGAAATGATGTAATCATACCCAAAACATAGCTTGACCAAGATATTCATCTGACTAATCTGTATACTAAATTCCATTTCAATATGTGCAACCTATCCAAAGAAAATGAATGAAAACTGCAAAAATATGGAATTTTTCTAAGTCCAAGGGGCATAACTCTGTCAATTATGGTGCGGTCGTACCCAAAACAGAGCTTGACCAAGATATTCATCTGACTAATCTGTATACATACTAAATTACATTTCAATATGTGCAACCTCTCCAAAGAAAATGAATGGAAACTGCAAATAATTGGAATTTTTCTTAGTCCAAGGGGCATAACTCTGTCAATTTATGGTGCGGTCGTACCCAAAACAGAACTTGACCTAGATATTCATCTGACTAATCTGTATACTAAATTCCATTTCAATATGTGCAACCTCTCTAAAGAAAATGAGCGGAAACTGCAAATGATTGGAATTTTTCTAAGTCCAAGAGGCATATCTCTGTCAATTATAGTGCGATCGTATCCAAAACAGAACTTGACCTAGATATTCATGTGATATACCTGTATACCAAATTTCATTTTAGTATGTGCACCAGTTATGAAAAAAATTAACGGAAACTAAATGGACCGACAGACCGACCGACAGACAGCAGGAAAGCAATATGCCCTCCCTTCTTCGAAGGGGGGCATAAAAAGTTATGACAAAAGTCTACGAACTTTTTGAATGACCCTCGTATTCATTTTTGAAATGAAATATATTGCTTACCAAGTGGTGGTTCCACTTCAAATAACTCATGCATGAAGTTATCACACTCATTACAGATATTGGCATCCCTCTCCCCCTTGTCCTGGCCCCGCCTGATCATGTCGTAATCATCAGCATCCTCCTGGAGCTTGAACATACCTCCAATACTCCAGATGAAAGAAAATGCAAACAGCTTCCCCAGCATGTCCAGGAGCTGATTGGGGTTCTTCTGTAGGTAGTATACCTTCTCACTTTGGAGGCTACAGAAGACAAAGCAAAAAAGGTCAAAATCAGGGAATAGTCACATAGATTCTTTAAGATTTTTTTTCATCTGATATATGTTGATACCAAGGGCCATGAAG